CTCATTATATTACTACATCTCATTTCCCATTTTATCTTCAGTTCCATTGACTGATGTGTAGAAAAAGCGATATAAATATGTTTTGAATAAATGTGGCTAATCATTAATACTTTAGTTAGAATTTATAAGTTCCTTGCAAAAAAGTGAAGGAGACAGTCAGGAGCTTGACCCAGGTAGGGTTCTACACCGGAAAGTTCTAGACAGCTTGAGCGTGTAATGACGGTTGGGATGAGTTGCTGAGATTCACTGACAAGCTGAGAAACAGAGAAAGGAAGGGGAGAGTGAAACCAAACTGCCTGCTTCACAGTTTTGTTGAGTCCAGCCTGACAAGCATAATAAGGTTAAGTGACTTTGAAAATCTCAAGGGAGCCCAGGAGCCAGGAAGGTTGCTGGCTGCAACCAGTGGTTCTCACCTCAAGTGTAACATAAACTGGGATTCACAATAGGTTCTGGGACTATACTATAAAGGAGTTTTCTGCCATATGCAGTTCCAAATGTTGCGTTCTTGAGCGCTTGCAAGAGTGTGCCCAGGCAGAAGCATATTTGCTAATGCTAAAAGGAGTGTCAGACATAGGACACATAACGCCAGTGGGGAATCTCCTTATGAATGAAATGTTCCCTGGGGTACTTACCATTGCCTAGTTCCCAAGAAATGTTATAATTCTTGGAAGAGCAGTAGTCCAGGAGCAACTGGGCATTTGAACTGTTCCACTGCAAATCTGCTGTTCTTAGTAATGCATTTAGACCAAAGATCAAGTCCAGTCCTGAGCAATTTGCAAAAGTGTACAGCATATCCACGGAGCTTCCTGAAAGAAAAAGGTTATAATTTAATGGTTAGGTCAACACCCACAATGGACAAAGTCTTCCGGACTTGCTCTTCATAGTGGATTTCTATAATATTTCTATTGTTAAATTGAAGGAGTTCTATTCCTAAAAAGTGATTATAATTATGTCTAAGAAACAACAAAATTGGACAGGGAAATTAAAAAAAAAAAAATCTGACTTCATTTGAATGGAGTCCCAGAGAAGAAACCAGAAGCTCTGGTCCGGCACTCGTGTTTTGTTCAAGTGACATCAGGTGAATTGGCGAAAGCACAATTTATGGCTCAGTGCTCAACATGCACAACCAGACTGTCACGAGTCAGCATAGACCCCACTCATAATCTAAATATCTCTACTCATGAACTCAGTTATAAAATATTTTGGTAATTTTAACTATATTTAAAACATTTTTTAAAAATCCTATATATGATTTTTCAATTTTAAATAAATAGAATTTTACATTAAAAAACTGGCCTAGGACTATAAGACCGTGGTTTCCAAACTACATGCCAAGGCACCCTAGGGAGCCACAGTGAATTCATGGATATGGTTGTAGGATTTAGCAAATAAAAATACAGCACACCTAGTTAAATTTAAACTTCAGATAAGTAAGGAATAATTTTTAGTGTATGTCCTACGCAATAGTTGAGAAATACTTACTGCTAAAAAAATATTATTTATCTGAAATTCAAATCTAACCAGACACCTCTATTCACAGAGGCACTCCAAGGTCTTTTAAGTTTGCAAGGGAAAAATGTCAACATCTATTGGACATGACAATAACCACTACTTTTAGGTTGTTTAGACCTAACAATTTAATAATCAAAACACTAAAAAAAAAATCAAAATTTTTAGCCTCTTTATGATGTAAAAAAAATTTCTGAGACACTAAGGTGCTACCAAGAGTTTGGGAACTTCTATACTCTGCTTTTTAAACCATTAGCTAGTCTATAATTACTTCTTGAGAGTGGCAATAATTTTAAGTGTTATCTTTAAATCAATAATCATATGCATAAGTTCTTGCAATTATTCGTGTATACGTAGAGTGATTTGTTACACAGTAATTCACTGTGAGAATAGTTTTTTTAAAAACTCTGTCAAACTTACATCCTTTCTCCTTAAAAGTGACTTTGTTCTTTTTTGTTTCTAAGTCTCTGGCCTGAATTACTTGGATAATTGTAGCATCCAAGTAATGCCTGGATTTAACATCCTAGATTTAATATTGCTGATAAAGGCTGCCAAGCAGAAATTTTTCTAGCAAGCTGCTTTAGGTGTATTTTTGTTAGTTTGTTTGTTTGTGAGACAAGGTCTCACTCTGTCCTCTAGGCTGGAGTGCAGCGGTACAATCATAGCTCACTGCAGCCTGGAACTCCTGGGCCCACGTGATCCTCCTGCCTCAGCCTCCCAGGTAGATGGGACTACACGTGTATGCCACCACGCCTGGCTAATTTTTCTTACTTTTTGTAGAGATTGGGTTTCGTTTTCTTGCCCAGGATGGTCTTGAACTCCTGGCTTCAAGCAATCTTCCCGCATTGGCCTCCCAAAGTGCTGGGATTACAGGTGTGAGTCACTGCACCTGGCCTGCTTTAGGTGTTTTGATATTTTCTGTGTCACCCAATTCCACAAACTGCTGCCTACCATCAAGAAGTGACAGACATTAGGGTGTGAAAAGCTGCCGGAGTCCTGCGACCCAGAATTCTGCTGGATCTCGGAGCCATAGCTGAGGACAAAACGGAGCCTTTGGGGTCACCACGTGACCCAAACCTCCACCTTCAATTTTTCTATGAGGAAACTGAGATCCAAAAAAATTAAGTGCTTTGCCTAATATCACGTAGCTATTTGGGGCAGTGCCATTACTAGAGCCTGTTACAAAGGGGTGACTCAACTACCTTAGTCGAAACCACACTGTAGGTTTACGTAGTGCAAAATCATGCTGTAGAAAGTGCCCTGGATCAAGAATTTTAAGACCTGAGTTCCAGGTCCAGCTCTGCCACTTACAGGCTAAAATACGATGAGGGGTAATATCTTCACCCAACAGGAGCCTCAGCTCTGGCTCTGGAGGCCTGGAGCAGGCACCATCATGGGTGTGCCCCAAACACTGAGGTTGAAGCAGTATGTGTGAAAACTGCCTGTAAATCAGAAAAAAACCCTTACGCTTATAAACACCGTTGTTGCCTACGCCCTTTACAAACATTATAGCATCTTCAAAAAACCCAGAGTGTTTGCATTTTAGAGTATTTATTCAACTCATACTTTTCCCTTCCTCTATTTCTTCATTCTTCCAAATGCACTTGGAATTTATGTAGCTTGAAATTCCACTATACACCTCTTATAACACAGTAAATAGTAACCTCTTAGGATACAGGCTACAGATGACTGAGTTCAAAATTACTCTTTTTTTCCTTCTCTCTCTTTTTTTTTAAAGGCTGGTCAAATGAAGCAGTGGGAGTGGAGAAGGAACAAAGGAATCCGTAACTGGTTGTGATCAATTAGTTGTAAACACCACAAAATTACTCCTAAAAGAGCCATCTGGCCTACTTCCTCTCTCAAATAGGAAAACAATAAAAAAAACCCTCTAACTAATTATCCTATTCCCAGTCATTTTCCAAACTCTTATAGCTTACTGTATGAGAAAGTGGAAAGACCCTTGGGATGAAGATAACCTAGACAGCATATTTTTTTTAAAAAATGGCAGACTCTTTCCCTTGCATTATGCCCTGTAAGTTTGTAGAAGGGCGTCCAGCATCCAGCGTGGAGCTGGGTGCTGGGGATGGAAGACTGGGTGATGAGGAAGAGAGGTGGAGAAGGAGGAAAGAAAAGAATTTGCTCATTAAGTATGATTATTTTAATAAGGCAGTCCTCCTTTCTGCAGTCACGCCCAGAATGACATCTGTGACATTGCTTCCTTTTCCTGCCCAAACCAGTTTATGATGCGAGTCTACATTCTCATGACAAATGTTTTTGTCATCTCCTACTTAAGTGGAGCACACCCTCCCAGGGGACCTGTACTAGAAAACTTACGTGTATCTTCTAGGACACCTGTTGTAAGGGTGCCGGCCACTAACTAAGCGTTTAACACGTCCTGGCCACAAGGGACTTTTGCTACATCTTCCTTCGTAGGATGCTCCCCATGTCACTCAGCCATTACCAACCTCGGCCACAGATTCAGAACAACATGCAGAACCCCTATTGGCTTCTGAGATATTTGTCACTATAATGAGTAGGTACCTAGACTAAAGACAGTAGATTTCCGTCTGTGTTTCCAGGAGATGCCTATCAAAATTGAAAATTTCAAGCCAGAAGTCAAATGTTTCCGAATACAAATCAAATATCAGTATTTGTTATGCATTTTAGCATGGCCAGCAGGGTGGTTGGAGTTGTACTAACCCAGTTACACGGTTAGCAAAGGAAAGCATTTCCCCCCCGGTACAGAAAGTATGAAGGCCCAAGTCCTAGAGCCAGGCAAAAATGTTAGAAATCTACCAACATGGTAACAGAAAGATCGTGTGAGGTTGCAAACCATTTTTAGAAATCAAAGATAACTGGAATGTTTAATATAACCAAAAAAACTGAGAATCCCTTAATTACCTAACATCATGGGGGCTTTTCCTACTAGGCCTGTATCATAATGATTGATTACAAATGTGTACTGTGATTTTCTGGTACTTTCTGTCATTCCTTTAATGGGATCTGAAATGTCCCTGCCTTACATCAAATTCTGTTCAACAATAAATCATGCTTATTAAAGTATCAAGTAGTTTCCCCCTCTCTTAAAAATGCAAAAAAAAATAGTTTAGAGGACTACATTAGCTATTAGTATATAAGCTATTTTTAATTTATTACGTATCACATTTTTTCTGTGCCTTATAAATAAAAAACATATATAAATTAAAACTCTGATACACTGAAATCCAGGTCACGTACAATAAAATCTTACAAAGATAAATAATTTATTTTACGTAATGTACTTTCAATAATGTTGACTAACTCAAATAAAGTACAGTGACTTTAAGATAATTTAGTTTTCAAAAGTCAAAAGACGATAGTTTTGGAGTATCTGAGCAGGTTATTTCCTTAACTGAGATCTGAGGCAACATCATCCCTTGGTTGGGTATAAAACAACTTTCAGATAAAAATATATTTCAGTGTTAAATAAAGATCGCTTGTTTCATGTGCTCGAAAGCTCTCCGTGACAAGGTTATCCATCCCACCTAAAGACTGGAAAACTGTTTCGGTGAATGGAGATACGTTCCTGGTTTGTCGAGCTAGCCCTGTGTTTGCAAAGCCACAGAGGAAAGAAACAGAGAAAGCTGCTTGGTGCCAACACAGTCTGGTATAAGCCAAGATTCCCCTGCCTAGAGATACGAACCAACCCATACCGGGGCTGACTTCTGGGAGGGAGATTGCATCTTACCCTTTATACTTTTGTATTTGCATTTTTTTTCCTCTTTATTTTTTAATTTACTTTGTTATTTTTTAAAAAATTGTTTTCTTCAACCATGTGACAATTCAGCAGCATGTATTTTAATTTTATATGAGAATATATTCATGTCTTCCTTGACTCCCTAATTCTTCAAAAAGCAGTGAAGGTCATCATTAGATCATGAATGATTGGTTGAGTTCTATCTTTCAGTCTGTGGCTAGTGAGCAAAGTGAGATAAAAAAAAAAAAAAAACAACACAAAACTTTTAGACTCAGGATTTCCCATTGACTCTTGCTAGTATTTGGGGATCGTACAGCTTTCCACACCTGCTGTAGCACTCACTAGATTCAGCCCAAGTCCAGCCTATCCGGATATTTTGGGGGCGGAACACCTGTAGGGTGCCTTTCATTTCTTACGTGAGTAGGTGCTGTTCTTGAACTTTTTCTGATATTGTTCTCTGAGCAGCAATTGCTCCTGGGAGGGCCATTCCAGCTCTAACTTCTCACGCACAGCGGAAGGGATGGGTCCGGATTTGCAAATATCTGCAAGCGGAAGAGATCATTCAGACGGTCTGTTTGCACAGAGACAAGGCTGAAATCCTGTATACGTATTTAGTTAGCTATGTATGTGACTAAAGCAGGATAATTAAATTTTTGGTGACGAGGTATAGATCAGAAAAAGAGATTCTGTTACACATGACAACTTCACGGGCTCACCAAGCCCCACAGAAAAACCACCAAAGGGCAGGTTTCCTTAGAAACGCTGCACATACACCGGACAGACACACCGGACACAGTTTCAGAAGACTCCTCAGAAGCTTCTAACCCTAATGAAGAAAACATAGTTCAGTTCTCTTCAGGTTCACTTTCAAAATACATAGATATTTGTTTTACACGGACCATATGTGCATTGTGGTGATTTTCTCTTACTGTAATGGAAGGTAGGACAGGTATTGGTGACTTTTTTCGCTTTAAATTTGGTACCATCAAAGCTCCTGGGACCGCAACCTGCACGCTTGGAAAAAGCCACCACTATCCTGTGTCACAAGACCACAGGGTCGCCAGGTACTTACTACCAGGGCTGGACGACCTACTGCCGACTTCTTTCCGGGAAGCTACACACTGTGCTCACAAAGAACGTTCCAGAGGAACCTGAATGATCCCAGTGCTCCCCCCACCAACAGCATGAAGAAAACCAACAAGCCAAGGACGCTCTCCCGCCTAAACTTATGAGACCTTTCAGACCCACACGACTGGCGGGAAAGGGCCAAGTCTAAACCTGAACTATTCCAATTTGTTATTCAAAGAGAACCCTGCTAACTTTTTTCTATTTTTCTAATGACTATTCTGTTAATTTTGGCCCAATTGCTGATGAACTGTTCTAAATACTTCCTAACTGGAGACAACAAGCAGAAGGAAAATATGTAATGTGTGAAATGATTCAATATTCCTCATGAGTATATATATTATACCCACATTATTATAATTCACTGATGTATACAGTGTTTTCATTTATTATTTATTTATTTATTTTTGAGACAGAGTCTCGCTCTGTCGCCCGGGCTAGAGTGCCGTGGCGTCATCCTCGCCCACAGCAACCTCAAACTCCTGGGCTCAAGCGATCCTCCTGCCTCAGCCTCCCGAGTAGCTGGGACTACAGGCACGTGCCACCATGCCCGGCTAATTTTTTTCTGTTTTTTAGTTGCCTGGCCAATTTTTTTCTATTTTTAGTAGAGACGGGGTCTCGCTCTTGCTCAGGCTGGTCTCGAACTCCTGAGCTCAAGCGATCCTCCCACCTCGGCTTCCCAGAGTGCTGGGATTATAGGCCCAAGCCACTGCGCCCGGCCTTACATTTTTAGGAAGTGTTAAGACGATGATTTAACTTCCATTTGACGTCTGCTAGCACGCGCCAAAAGACACAGGGCGGACCCCCGCGGCGTCCTCAGGCAGGTCTCTCGGGTGAAGCCCACAGGCCTCCCATGTCACACTCGCCTGCCAAGCGGACTGAACTCGGCATCTGAGGTTGGAGCCCAGAAACCCAAACACTCGAACTCGCCCGGGCAGTAACAGGTACTCAGTAAAACTCGAGAACCACTGCCCAGTAACTCAAGTCTTGAAATCTACTTTTAGAAGCAGAGTGTATATCACCCTGTCCCCTTGTTACAGAATATCTTTCAGCCACATTCTATTTCCTGAATAAACATGCTTCAGTCCGCGGCTGCGTCCTGCTGGAGTCACTCTCTTCAGTCTGACGCGTTGCTACCCACACGTCCCCCCCAAGCAGCTCTGTCCTTGTGCTACGACCATCGTTCTACTGACAGCACGACTGACTGTCAGTTACGCCCGGCACAGCTTTTCTGCGAAGTCTCACGTTCGCGAACATGCAGTGACAAGGAATCCTGCCCACCGCTTCCTCCTTTTCTTTAGGTCCCTCCACGGGTCAGCCGGGGGGCCCTTCATCTCTCATTGTCAAGTATGAGCAAGCACAGTTTTCTCCAACTGCACTCGTGATGGACTCGAGTTAATTAAAATACATAATTAATCTTTTAAAAGTTTCACCCTGATTGACTTGAGATTGCCAGTAACTTCTCTCTTCAAAAGTTGGTTCCTTCTCGGGATCAAAAATCAGAAAGTCTGTCTTGGTGCCACCAAACCTCAGGTATGCAGGAGACAAACCTCTGGCCAAGGTGCGAAGCTTTGGAGAACTGTGAAGCAAGGAGACAAGCAAGAAAATATATTTACTTTTTCCAAGAAGGCCAAAAATTTTTACTTCCTTCTGTCTTGGTGGGACCTGTTTCCTAGCAACCAGCTGCGCAGGCCTTGGAGGGAGAAGTCGTATTGTTTGAAAGGGGAGTCGTCTGACTCTGAATCTAACTGCAGAATTGTTCTAGGCACCTGCAGGCAACCAACTTGGAGCTATAATTTGGACAAGAGCTTTTTTTTTTTTGGAGACAAGAGTGGCGTCATCATAGCTCACTGAGACCTCAAACTCCTGGACTCAAGCAATACTCCTGCCTAGGCCTCCCAGACTGCTAGGATTACAGGCGTGAGCCACCGCGCCTGGTAAAGAGCTTGTATTTTAAGCTTGAGCCCAGGAGTTAGAGGTTGCTGTGAGCTAGGATGACGCCATGGCACTCTAGCCCAGGTGACAGAGCGAGACTGTGTCTCAAAAAAATAAAAAAAGTTAAGTTTTATGTTTTGTGTTAAAATACACAGTACATACAGTATAACTTTAACAATAAAAATAACATATATATTTCTATATAGGAGAGAAATGTGCCAGGATGATCACAGTGGTCATTACTATATGGTGAGATGGATGATAGACTCTTTTCTAATACTTTTCTGTATTTGACAAGTTTTCCATAACAAGCCCATGATATTTTAAATTACACAACTTGGGTTTTGTTGTGTGCGTGCATTTTGTTTTTCATAGGTGAAGAAACCAAGATTTGCCTAAAGGAGACAGAGGCATCATTAATTAATTAATTTATTTATTTTTTAAGACAGAGTCTCATTCTCTTGCCCCGGCTAGAGTGCCATGGCGTCAGCCTAGCTCACAGCAACCTCAAACTCCTGGGCTCAAGCGATCCTCCTGCCTCAGCCTCCCGAGTAGCTGGGACTACAGGCACGCGCCACCATGCCCGGCTAATTTTTTCTATATATTTTTAGTTGTCCGATTAATTTCTTTCTATTTTTAGTAGAGATGGGGTCTCGCTCTTGCTCAGGCTGGTCTCGAACTCCTGAGCTCAAACAATCCGCCCGCCTCGGCCTCCCAGAGTGCTAGGATTACGGGTGTGAGCCACCGCGCCCAGCCTATCATTAATTTATTGAACAAGTACTTGTTGCAGGCCCACCGCGTGCCGGGCATCACGCTACTGCTGGGGATACAACGGTGTAGCAGACAGGGGTACCTGCCGTCCTCGTATCGTTTACAGTCCGATGATACGTAGGAACGAGTAAACAGACAATTCTAAACCAGTGCTCTGGGAACATACAGGGGTCTCCTAACCCAGACTTTGGGCTGGGAGTAGGGGGTGGTTAGAGAAGGTTTTCCAGGGAAAATGGCCTCGCTGTTAGACATATAAAAGGAATAAACTTTATCCAGATTAAAGATAGTGGAATGGGATTGAAGGAAGTGTCCCAGCTGAAGGGAAAAGTCTGTGCAAAGACCAGAGGAGTGCCAACTCCAGATGAGGGCAATAGGGAGCCATGGAAGGATTTCGAGTAGTGGGAGTGACCTCACCAGATGGTGGTTTTAGGAAGGAATCACAGGCTGCAGTGTGACAGACTGCAAAGAAGGACGGAAACTCTGGCCATGTTAATGCAGACAGAAAACAGACAGAAAGATTGGGGGCAGGTAACAGCAGTGCGGATGGAGGGGGCGGATACGGTGGAGGTTTATCTAGAGGTAGAGTAATAGATTTGGCTGTTAACTGGATGTTGAGGAGGAGGCAAGAATGACTCCTGGGAAGCACCTTGGAAGACGGCGACGTCATTTGCTGGAATGAGGAACAGGCGATAGACTGAAGATGGGGCTGAGGAGAGGGAAGGGGGTTCAGTTGTGTGACTCTGAGATTTGAGCTGGGGACACAGAGTGGCGAATCCTCAGTATGAAAGTCAGCGACCTGTAGCCCCTAGCCCACAGCTCCCGAGACAGACCTCTAAAACCACATGAGAAACGTCCTCAGAGAGTCACCAGGCTGGCTCCAGGCCGCTGCCCTTGGCCAGGCACCGATTCTGATCCCTGGCATTTTGACTGTGTTTGATGATAGAGGAAACTCACTTTGATTTCTGTAGCGGAGATTTGTAAGCAACTGAGACAGACTGGTGCTGTCTGGGGCGTGGCGGGGAACCTGTGGCATCACAAGACACAACCTCAGTCAGACAGCCGAGAGCCACAGCCTGGTGCCTGGAGGTATGAACTGTGCCACCTTGGCTCACTCTTGGTCACACCACCCGGCCTTAATTTTCTTCGTAGCATTCACCACTCTCTGAAATTAGCTTCCTTATTTGTTTCCTGGGTTTACTATCTGCCCCAGCCCCCTACTCTGATGGAAGCTCCCCGAGAGAGAGCAGGGCCGTTTCTGGCTGGCCTATCGCAATCTCCCCAGCACCTAGACAAGCGCCTGGCACACAGATGGTGCTTAATAGATACTTGTTAAGTGAATGAACGTGTGAGGTCAGCCTGCTGAAAGGGTAACGGGAGGCCAAAGACTGTTTTCTGAACAAAATTAAAATCCTTTGCTACCTGGATGCTGCCAAGTAAAGGAAATCACATGCTCCAAAGTTTTGGTATTGAGGACTTTTGGTTCGTCTCCTTTCCAATGGAATATTTTCTGGTTTTGAGAACATAATACGGATGCCCTCTGACAAAAACCAGATTTAATACAGATGCAAAACATGCCGTAAGACCAAAACGGATCCAATGTACAATATTTCAATCATATACAGGAAAAAGAAAGAAAAAAAAAGTCCCCACCCCCACAGCGACAGGGAAATAACAAAAGAACCCATAAAAGCAGCTGCAGCTATTCTATTTCCAGAACAGTTCGTTAGGAAAAAAAAAAAAAAAGAGAGTCTGCAGGTGTTTTTATTTTATCTTTTGTACACAAATAAATTGCATCTCTCTGACATGAAAGCAGAAGTGTGCTAGGGTCCAGCTTGTGCCAGGTCGCCAGCCTGGGAGAGTAAAATGTTAATTTTGAGAAATTTTGTGAGCCAGCTGGTAAACTGTTGGCCATTTGAAATTGGCCATGCTGGGGGTAGTCACACCACAGAAATCAGCAAAAACCAGAATCAGTCTCTCCTCCTCCCAGACATCCGATACCACTTTTGCTCCGTGGTTCTTACAGTCTTCAGCACTATTCTTTTTGAGCTTGTATCAGTGATCCGTGCTGGCGAATGTGTCTTAGCTGAAGCGTAAGGTACACTGTCCCCTACGGCAGCCGAGCTGAGCACTTCAAACGCAGTTGGTCTGAGCAGTGCTACAAGTATGTGAAACACACCAGAGTTCCAAGACCCGGTTCGAGAAATGTTAAATATCTCACTAATATTTCTATACTGATTACATGTTGAAATGGTAATATTTTTGATATACGGAGCTAATTATTAAAATTAATTTTTCCTCTTTCTTTTTGCTCTGTTTAATATGGCCACAAGAAAATGTACAATTACATAAGTGCCTTGCATATGAGGCTCATGGGACAGTTCTGTTGGGCCACGTGGGTCTAGGGCAAGGACCTGTTTGGGGTTCTGCACACAGTCAAGCTTAGGAAGTACTTGGATTGGTTTGTTCATTAATTCTTTCTGGGAAGAGGGTAAATTAAAAAAATGCCCCTTTTGGATTCTAGATTATTCTATTATCGGCATTTAAGTTTTGTGGTACTTCATGTTCTCTGGTTGCAAATGTGGGGGGAAAAAACCCTGTTTACCATCGTTCGAAGCCAGGAAGGTCACCTGATTAAGTGTGCTGAACCTCCTCTGAAGTACCTGAGAGGTTCCGGCTGTGACACTCCCACTCCCCTGTGAATGCTTCTTTTCATTCTAGCAATCTCTTGGTTCTTTTCCAATCTTTTTCTACCATGCCCTACGCTGTGGCCTTTAACAACACATAACCTGCTTTCCCCTTTTGTGGGCCCTATTGCCTCTGCCATCACAGTCTGGTTTCAAAGTCCACTCCTCATGTACTCTCTGGCTGACCACAGCCGAGTAATCTTATCTCCCTGAGCCTCAGTTTCTTAATTTAGCCCGTGGGAGTGCTAATAGCGCTCACCTCAAGCGTTGCAGCAAGGGCTAAATGAATTAACGCCTGGCGGGTGCTTAGAACGGGCGGCAGGCAAATGGCAAGGGCTCAGTGGCAGCTGGGCGTGCCGTGCTCCCCTCCTCACTCCTTCAGCTTTCCTCCGCTCAGCTCTGGCCGTCCTTGCCCGCGCATCTTCATTTGGGAGGAGCTGTAGTGAAGCCACACTCCTCCCCCCTCCTTCACTGCGGACACATCCTAAGCTCCTGTTGTCTTCTGAGATGGCCGGGCCACCGGGGCACGGTGCCACCCATCCTGGGGGGATGGACCCTCAGACCCTATTTAGAAGCTAGGTCTTAGACAAGGACAGGGAGCTCCAGCCTCTTTCAGGTCTTAGCTGAGAACAGCCTGGAAGTGCTTGTGGAAGCTTCCGGGGAGCTGACCTAGAAGGTGGCCTCTCTAAGAGAAGGTAGCGGGAACAGATGGGAGCCAGCCTGGAGAGAAGCCTGTATGGACAGGAATGAACTGCGTTTTGTAAACCTGAAAAAAGCTTTATCGATCGCATGCTATGTTCTCTTCGTTTTCCATCATCCTCCATCTTTAACAGAAAGGTGGGGAGCAAGGGAAAAAAGCGTGCTATGGGAAACCGAGAGAGGTGTTTAAGAGGAAGAGAGGTTAGCGTCCTCACTCAATTGCACATCAGAAGGTCTGTGTGTTGGGGGAGGGTACTAATCAATCGGGGTGAGCTGGACTGCAGGGTGAGCAGGCCAGGACCCTGAAAGTCATGCTGCAGTCTCTTACTCCGGGGAGGAGCCCCCACCTGGCCTCCTTCCTTGGGGAGGGGGTGGGGCATGTGCTGGCGCAGCAGGAGAGGGCTTGGGTCCTCGCGTTTCAGTACATGGACATCTGCCTCGTTCCTGTTTTCAGTAAGGCACGTCCCCCAACCTCCCTGCCCCCAAGCTA